TGATTTACAAAATGTTTTAGATCATTTAGTGGAGTTGGGCATATAAATGGCAGATAGGTTTTAATTATAATAAATGCGAGATAATGCATGTGGGTTATCATAATTTGAATGATAAGTATAATTTGGATGGGAATAACCATAATAGTATTATGAAGGAAAGGGATATTGGTGTAATAGTCGATAAGTCTCTAAAGCCATCCAAGCAGTGTGCTGTTGCTAGTGGTAGGGCAAATAGGATTTGAGGTTTTATCCACAAAAATACTGAATACAGGTCTAAAGAGGTTATAATTTCATTGTACAGGTCACTGGTTAGGCCACATTTGGAATATTGTGTTCAGTGTTGGGCTCCTTACCTTAGGAAAGACATTGAATTGTTGAAAAGGGTTACTCGAATGGTGCCTAAGATGGAGGGTGTTATCACACAAGGAGAGGTGGGAATCTCTCAAACTGTTTTCTCTTGAAAAAAGAAGAGTTAGGGAGGATCTGATTGAGATGTTTAAGATTGTAAAGGGAATTGATAGTGTTGATGTATCATCTTTTTTCATATTTAACAGTGAAAATAGTAGGACTAGGGGACATAAATATAAATTTTGGCAAGGTAGGAGTCATCTTCAGCTAAGACAGTTTCATTTTTCTAACAGGGTGGTAGGCCTTTGAAATGGGTTGCCTTCAGATGTTGTAGAGGCAGTAAATTTAAGCGAGTTTAGGAAAAAGCTTGATAAGTATGTGAATGATAAGGGCTGGCTTTAAGATTTTTATTATTTTCAATTTAGTTTAGAGAATGGAACAGCCGAGATAGACCAATAGGTCCAATGTTGTCCCAAAACATTATGTTATGTTATATTTAATAGATATAAATTGAACTCAACTAAAAATTTTGTTAACAAAAACACTGTTACCTAGCCTGTTTGAAGTTAGGTATTGGGTAAATGATAAATCTTTCAGTTTTTGCTGTTTTTTTATTAATCTATAGCCTGAAGTGGTTATCAAAAGAAATATATTAACAAATATAAACTTTTATATGAAAAAGTCAAGTGAAAAGATATTGGGACAAGGATTTAAACCTAGGTCATCTGAGTAACAAGGCTAGTGATCTACCATCGAAATATCCAGGAGTCTTTACCACTGGTCACTTGTAAGGCTTCTTACTATAAGTATGATCACCATACCACATTATGATTAGGCAATTAGTGGGTAGATTTACCAACAACAACCACCACACTATACGAAGTCTATCAAAAACTTACATTTATTTTCAAATTTGGTTATGGAACAATGAATGTACAAATTCTAAGAAACTTTTATACATGAAAGCTGATAAATAAATAGTGATGGGAATGACTTTTTGACAGTTCAACAGCAAAGCGCTGCTGGCTTTATTAGCCAAATGTCCTGGATTCAAGTCCCAATCACAGTCTCTTTTTGTTGCTTATTCTTATTTAACTTGGTACTAACTTTCTAAATACATTTATTTTGTTGTTTGAAAAATAACCGTTTTTAAAACTTGTAAGCATTTTTTACACTATCTCTTTGATACAAAGAAATGGGAAGAAGGCTTCAGGTAAACATACACAGTGTACAATATACTTACTACTCTTGAATGTCTTCAGGTACATCCATTTCAAACTTATGAAATGAGCCCTTTGTGACTGGTGGGCTACAACAAAAAAGAATAACATAAAAAAGTTATCCCGATTCTTCATTTTGTACACCAATAAATAAAAATGTAAGAAACGTATATATAATTAGCCATAGTTATCACTGATACTCTAAATAGGTAGCTTTCTCTGATGGGAAGTTAATATTAATACATAATGATTTTAATTTCTTTTACCTGAAGTACATATATATATATATATATTCACTTTTCAAGTAGCTCATACAATCTTTTTAACAGGTTGAAATTACTGGAAACCCAAAAGCCTAGAAGAGATACATTTAAGAACCCTGGATAGATAATGCCTCTGAGCTACAGATGTAATAATGAAAGAACGGCAATGATAAAACCATGTATTTATGTATATTAAATGCTTGATGTTTGGTGATTACATGATAATCCTTACCAGCCTGATATCATTTTTCTTTCTTTTTTTTTTTATAAGGCCAATTTACATTAAGTTTTAATATGCTCTCTGTCACCCTTCTCCTAAAATCATACACAAGATAAAACTAATTGAAATGTTCAACTTGTAATTTTGCTTTGATATAAATTTCATTAACATTAGTTTTAGATATAGTAATACAAAAATCCAAACTGATAACCAATTTCAATTTTTTGCCCCTACAACTGCATATATAAAACCTCTCGACATGTATCTAACATAGCTGCAAACTGTGGTCATTGTAAATGTTTACTGTTTGTTTCTAGATCAGACAGTCTGAAAATCATAAATTTTTTGAAGCTGAACATGTAAAAAACTAAAATTTAATAGCCCTTTTTTTAAAGTTTCAAATTTATAAGCTAAAAAAAATCTTAAACATATAATCAGAAAGCAGATATTTTCTGCTCACAACCTATTTCCTGTAGATCTATCCTTCTTCCATATATCAATTGCAAACTTCTGAACTTTCAGTTATCACATCAGAAGTCTTTCTTCATCACATACTTTCAAATAAACTAAATATATTATGGTTTTGTATTTCTTGTATGCAACATATTTGTAATGAATTAATATTAATAATTTCCATACTTTGTCTAAGTAATTACTCTGGTGATTGTTGTTTTTTTACGTAAAACTCCCACTGTTAATTGAAACCACATCTTGCATAGTACTTCCTCAAGAGGGGAAGGTTTCTTTTAAAATTAATAAAT